GTACATCTTGTGAAACTACGTGCAGGTGCACAGTTATGTAATTTGATATAAATCTATCAAAAATGGGACCTGAAATCAACTACAATATGCATCAAAGTAACTTTGTATCACTTCAATTAACATGATTTAATTAATGTCAGTTTGAGGCCATACACAAGTCAGGAACCCAACAGAGTACAATGGAATAGTGCCGACTGTGAAAAAAAAAAAAAAATCTCACTTAAGCTGAGATTTGCCCATAATGCCATTATCAGAGTCAGCCAACCACAGCTTGCATGCAGCGACTAAATTACTGCTCAGCAGCCAGAGCCATGCCGAGCAGAGAGTCTGTAATGCCATGGCAACACTGATGGCATGGGTTACTTAACATGGCTGTCAGAAATGCAGACTTTGAAAGGCAGGTGGTCTTTGAATACACACAGATGGACTTTTAGTCAGTCTGCACTGTGATGGAGGCAGCAGAGGACATTTGGAATGACACACATTTCATATTCAGTCTCAGTAATGGAACGAGTTCGGCTTCTCATGCTGAAAATTTTGCAGCATCTGCTCTTTGAACCATGGAAATGCAAATATACATCTAATCTCATTAGCAAAGCTCGATGTTGTGAAGAGCACCAATGCTACTGATGCTCTCAGAGGCTTCTGCAGTGTCTTCCTTTGTCTGAGTCAGCAGACTGTTAAGTGTGAAACTTAACTGGAAGTGAACTGTTACAGATTTTCATTTCTCCAGTTGCTTGACATTTTCAGTCACCTTTTTTAACTCTATGTTAATACTCATACCGTTACCCGACTGTTGCTGCTTTGGCTCCCTCCCAGTCTGTAGTTGTTGTAGGCCAGGTGGCTGTATGGGTTGTACCCCACAAACCCGGTAGTGTTGGGCATTTGCTGATGGAAACAAATGAGACAGAAATATGAATGAGAAATGAAACCAATGAAATAAGCTGTGGAAATGCAAAATAAAGAAACTTGCATTCATGCTGGAGCTATAAGGAAATAGTCTTTTAAGTCAGTCTGTGTTACTAACCAATACACAAAAGAGTGGATCTTTTTGAAAAAGATATTTTGCTAAAGCATAAACGGTACTAAAATGGAGTCTCCAAACATCAGCTTAACTTGGGATACCCAGAAGATTGTTGCTACTCTGAGGTAGGGGTACTTACAGTTGTAGGGGCAGGGGGAGGGGGAGGGGCATATGATGGTCTCTCTGTTGTGAAAGAAAAGGTCCAAATCAGACATCAATAATCAGTCCAGTGAAACAGCAGACTATTAGCTAACCCTAACTATTTGCCAGTGATGTTTACTTAAGATGCTTTATTTCTACATGAAATAACCCATCAATAACAAAGTACCCCTACATCATCTGGATTCTCTGATAACCATTGATACACTCTGATATTGCAGTGTTCTGGTTATATCACTATATAACATGGATATATGGAAACAGCAGGTCTGATGTGTTTGATTATGCGTTTTATATAATCGCCTACAAAGAGCTTCATATCACAACCAGCTCAAACACTCCCAGTTCCTTACTTGACATCTTTGCAGTGAGGAGTAGGTATCAGTCTATTCCAGGCATTGGCTCTGTAATAAACACATTTAGAGTAGGGTAACATTTTATATCGTATTGATGAGATGAACTGTGTTGCTGTGGTGGTTTATAACGTTACATCACACAAAACAAAGAGATGCCGATGATTGTCAGACAACCGGGCTGGCTAACGTTAGCTAACGTTAGCTCAATCTGTCTGAACACTGACAGTGTGGAGAGGTTGACACACCAACTACAAGGCGTTTCATGTCAGCAAAATAAATGCTACCAATAGCAGCGTTAGTAAGGCCGCATTAAATGCCAAAGCAGCAATGATTATCTGGATATGATAACTGGTGAAATAGCACTGGTAGCGCCAACCTTACACCTCTGCTGGATCCAATAAACGAGTTGTAATTTCGCTAGCAAGCTAGCGTTAGCACGCTAACGTAATGTAGCTAACCGCTAGTTTCTTTGACGCTAGGTTAGCTAGCCCTACACCAGACGCCAACAATAAGTAGACCTAGGTGTAATTATACTGTTAGGACAATGGATATTCGTTCCTATCGATATGTGCTTAGCTTGAGTCATCAGCTTCAGTAGCGTTAATGAGCGTCAACTCGTCTGAATAACCAGCAGGCTGACGGCTAGTCAGGTTAGCTTAGCTAAATGAGCTAAGTGAAAAGAAAAATGACATCTCTTGAGACATTATTAGCATGCAACGTCAAGTCCAACCAACACATCTAGAGATATACACATTCCCATAGATTTTGATGGTGACAAGCAAGCATGTATACTAAAATGTTGGCCAGAGAACTCACCCTAAAACCTTTAGTCCCAACCACAGTGTGTACGTTGTGGCTTTGACAGGGAAGGCTAACCACCTAGCTCAGAGAAACAGTCCCCACAATAAACGAATGAAATGGGGTCCACTCGTCAGATTCCTGCAGAATCTTCCAGAACTGAACCCCCACCCTCTCCTCATTACAGCTGTTCCTTTGCCTCGATGCTGATGCTCATCGCCCTCAGCTGTCACTGCTGCAGCTCTGACTTATTGATATGACAGCAGACAGATCTTTCTGCTCACGAATAGTCATCATTAAGAGAAAGAGAGAAGGTATCATAACAGCGCAGCTACATAGGATGTCACATTTTACCCTTCATGGCGCAGATGTGCATCAACATTTGTCAGAAACACAACGTAGCCTGTTTTATTCCTGAGTTGTATAGAAGCAAAAAGCTAACCGCAAAGTTACCTGCACTGCAAAATACCTCACCTCGTGTCAATAATGTGCCATGTCAGTGCGGATGCTTAACCTTTTACACCTATTCTTTTCTACAGGGTAATAATCTCAGACTATAATGCAAAAAAAAAAAAAAAGTTGGAATGACTTATTATGTCACCATACCTAAAGTAGCATTATGGACGCCTCACAGCTTCTAAGCTTTTGAGAAAATCAAGGTTGCCCTATTCACTGCTCCCTTGTTTTGAGAACTGAAATACTTTGCATTCTTGTTCTCATTGTCTGAGAGCCGCCCAGGTCAATAGTTGTAATAGTGTGTTCCCTAAAGATAACAATCCAAAGCCTGTAGGATTTAGCCTACATCTCTGTCCATTCAACCTGAATAGTACTTGTTTTGGATTTGTTAATTGATTGTGTTCATTGTGACCCTGTTTCTTTCTGTTTACACTGCACACTTGAGAGCTTATTTTATTTCTGCTTGACCTGCATCCTGTATAATATGCATGCAGACACTGTTGTGATCTCATCTGCAGGTGTCCTCTTTTCATTGATCAGGCAATGGCCAGAAAGCTGTATGGATGGAAACGGGGAGCAGATTCCACACGAGTTATGGGCAGGACCGTGTTTAGAGTTGGACACCTGTGATGGAGTACATCTGGAGGTAGGGTGGAGGTCACATGCCTCCTGTAAGCTACTGTGCAGGCTTAACACAGACACTCACACAGGGCCTCCCAGTCACAGCTGTGGGATTGTGGATGCCCAGGGGCAGAACAGGGCCTGTGACATTTTGAATCAATCAGAGGGAAACCCGTAAAGCTGTTCTTGTAATGCAGATTCCGACCCAGTTCTTAAGCCTGTAGAGCTCTCCAAAATAGACTCAGGCAGTGGAACTAAGCAGACTTGAAAGTTTACTCTGGTGGTAGACGGTGGGGGTATTTTTAGAAGCTGCTTCAGTCAGATTATTATGATGTATCATTCCAGAGGTATTCCTTGGACAAATGCCATGAGTATTATCATTAACCTGTCCGTCTAACCAGTATATAAAGTATAAAATCAGCCTCAGCTTTACCAGCTGCACCATTAAAGTGATGTACACATTAATGCTTCAGTAATTATAGTCCAATATTATAATATAGATTATTCTTAAATGGGTCATTCTGAGTCCTTTTACTTTTGGGATTATGTAAGTATATTTTGATGCTAATGGGTTTTTACCTAGGTAACATGTTTAATTCAGGACTTTTACTTAATGGAGTATTTCTGGGTAGTGCTACTTTTACTTGAGTAAAATATCTGAGTGCTTCTTCCACCGCTAGAAACGGGTAGACTGATAAGCTCTGAAGTATCCTCACACATGTCACTCAATGTAAACTTAGACGTGATGTGCATCCTGGAACACAGCTCATATTATAGTTATGAACCTGCAATCTTTTATTTAAAGGTTTGTTTCCTATTTGATTTTGGCAAAAAAAAAAAAACTATCATTGCTAGAGCCTGACCATTACTGGATTTTTGAGGCCGATACCAATATTTAAGAGCTGAAATCTACTAACAATATATCCTCCTATATTGTTTTCACATAAACACATTATATAAACCTTAATTTTCCCTATCTCTAATTTATATACTAAATATTTATCTGAATATTTTACAGTTGAAATATTTTCCCAACATCAAACATAACAGTACATGTTTGAGATTGGATAAATAAGGGTAGTGGAAGTAGTAGTAGAAGTAACATCAACAATTAATTAATAGATTAATTATAATTAAAAAAACAAAGATTTTGGTAATACCAAACAATACCAAATGCGTTTTTTTACCCCAATCTTATATTTCTGCAGCGACATATTGCATACTCTCTGTCCACATTGCATAGCTTATGAAACATATGAAGACGTGGAGGCCCAGACATTACACACATATAAACATCAGATTACATATAGAGCGCACTCATAAAAGTAATCTCCACTAACATATAGTCTTATAGGGAAGACACTCAGAAACAATCCAATGCAATGCTGCAACAAGATAAAATCCAATTCTACTGATAGCTAGAATGTAAAAGGAGACTACAAGTTTTTATTTCAGATCTTCATTTGATAGTAGATTAATTAAATTTCATGTGTTAAATCAAATTCTTAACTCATTATCCAAAATATACTAATATGTCTGTGATAAGCTAAATTCATCCAAAGCTACTAATAATAACAGCAACAACATTGTAGTTTCTAAAGTGTTTTAATTGATGTATTACAATGTGTACATTTTCATCAGGTAAACATTTACAATGTAAGTGATCATTTAATTGGTTGAAACTCTATATTTCAGTTCTTTGATCACTTCAGTGTTTGAGTATAACGGTCCTGTTCTGGACAAGATACACAAGACCTTAGCTGTCTCCAACCCCAGTCCATTTGTATGCATGCAAACATTACTTCATATCTTCTACACATTAATAGATAATATCAAAGGCAAACAGGAACAGTCTATTCTTGAGAAATGCAGTTACAATTCAGTACAGCAAAGTTAGAGATCAAGCAACGTACTATAGCTTACATACACAGTTTATGTAGTTAGAAGGCCTTTACAAAATCAAAGCCAAAACCTTTTGTCATCTCTATCAAAGATTAACATCAATTAACAGAGATATGTGTTTGAGTGTGTTAAGTAACACTTAGTTAATGGATGATAAGATAGGATTTAGCTGGAACTTTTCTGTGCAGTTCACTGAATGAGTATTGACGTCTCCAGATACTGTTTTCTTTGGAATTGTTTTTAGGCTATTTGGTTTTTGATATTTTTAAGCTGTAGCAATGATTCTCTACCCAAACCACCTTCTATCTGTCTGCCTGTGTTTTGGTGAACTACCTTTGGATACATTTCTTGGCAATGCATTGTTTCCAGCAAAGGTTATTAATTGACCACTGGCTTCAGTGATAAGAGTATGTAGTGTTACTAGTGACTGGGGGCCAGAAGTGTAGAATTCTGACTCATGTAGCAAAATAACTAAGCCTGCACAGAGACAAAGTTATGTTTGATCATTTTCATTTGAGTAGTTTATTATGATTAACCATATAGGATGTGATTCTATTGAAAATGTATGTAAGCTTTTTATTCAAATTTCACAAGTGAGTTTTGTAGCAAAATCATAGAAGACAAAGTGCACTAAAAACACACCCTCTAAGTTTTAATGTGTATAAATAGTAGAAGATAGATTGTTTTATTTCACCCTCAAGTACCTTCAGGATGCACTGAAGATACATCAGAGAAACCCTCAGTCTGATGAGGGATAACAGTTGTCAGATTCATTTTGGGAATGTTCTGGCCCATATCAGCTGTCCCCAGTTAGCTGTGGTGAGATTACTGGGGGGTTATATGTTTTACTACCTCGCACAATAAAGGAATAAGAGAAGCACCAAAAGTAGAGCATTTCACTTTTCTCTGACTCTATTTATATATGCATAAACTACTGCATTCTAGAAAAAAAGATTAGACCAAATTCAGTTTGGAAAAATGTGCAAAAAATGCATAAAAATAAAGGTTTTCATGGCACTTTTTTCATTTCTATGTAAAGCTGAATTAACCTTCAGCATGTTGTGCTCAAATAGTCTTATTTAAAGCTTAACTGATGTTGAGGTAAAAGCTGAGTATGGAGACAGAAAGAACCAAATATCCATTGTGCGACAGTATGTATGCTGTGAACTGTATGCTACGCTCTTTGTCCCAAACACCAACCAATAAGTTTCCCATGGAGCAGATAGATCAGGCTGTCCATATCTGGTGGTGACAAACACCAGCATTAGCTTAAACCTGCTTCCCTGCCCTGAACACCAGTGCAATCCAATTGCTATAAGAATAGTAGCAGCCTTGCCTACAGTATCTAAAATATTCGATGAATAGCTATGTTACGTGCGCTGGTAATACGCTCCTTTAATTATTAGTGTGATGCCCTTTAGATGATGTGAAAACTGAAAACTAGCGTTGTCAGATTAACAGAGGAAATTCTCGTTTCAACATAATTATGATTTTTACTGCTACACAAGAGTCCTCCATTCAAAGCTTCATGTTAAAGGACCAGTGTGTAGGATTTAGTGGCATCTAGCGGTGAAGTTTCAGAGTGCAACTTACTGAACACTGTTGGTGTCTGTATTTGACGACCTGGGAATGAGAGTGGGCTGTGAAGCGTGTAGGAGAAACTCATTGTGGCTCTGAAACTCGCGAAAAACACAAAAGGTCCTATCTAGAGCCAGTGTTTGTCCGTTCTGGGCTACTGTAGAAACATGGCGATTCAACATGGCGGACTCAACTGAAGGTTACCCAGTAGATAAAAACAGCTCATTGTAAAGTAACAAAAACACAACAATTCTTATTTTCAGATGATTATACACTAAACATACCTGTGAATATCATATTACATTTCTGCCAATAGATCCTCCTAAATGTTACACACTGGACCTTTTAAAGGTGGGGTAAGCGATTCTGGAGAAATCCAATAGCACGACAAATACCATGATATAGTGCGAGCAATGACACACTAACGTTGGCTGTTTTGTCGGCTAGCAAACTGTCACTACAGTTGCTGTTGCACAGCTAACGCGCAGAGAGAACGAGATGGTTTCCCAGAGCCAGCTCACCAGCTCCAGACAGCGATGCTCACAACTTTTCCTGCTACTATAGCTAACATTACGACAACAGCATGTTATGCAACACATGTTGGCAAACTAGAAAATGAGATGAATATCCGTGGGCATGTCATTTAACGTTACCTCACACACAAATCCTGGCTGGAATGGCTCCAATTAGTATTGTGTGGCTCGGTCCGATTCCATTCACGGAGCCCGGGCTGTGTACAACCACCAGATTTTTTTCAGCGCACACACAGCAAAAAGCTGGCACACCGTAGGGAGATATTAGCTGAATTTGACAAAAAGTGTACTGGATTAGAATCGCATTACCTTGAATTGCTTACCCCACCTTTAACTAAGAGTTGCCATGCTGCCAGGAGCTTAATCATTACAATGTATTACAGTCTGGTTGTGTATTTAAAACACACCACGCCTGCATTTACAACACTGGCCTGTGGAACATTCAGCCAGTTAGCTGCAGTGATAGTGCAAAGCCAATGTGGGATGTTACTTTTATATTTTAACAATAAAATTGAAAACACACATGGAAAGCCTTTGTCAATAGCTAGTGTAGATGGTCATACATTTAGGTGATCCTCACACTTGCTGATGCTAATTGCTCCATTTCCTGAAAATCCCAGTCTTCTGTTCCAATCCTAAACAATGCCCAAACAGTGCAGAAGCCATTTTTTTGTTTAGTATTTTGGCACATTCAGTATATAGCACCACCAAAGTTCTGCCAAGCAGTCTGTTTGGAGAGAAATCCTGTATGTTGAAGCATATTCATATGAGAGTCACACTGGCATTTTAGCACCAGCTGGAGAAATGAGATTATCCTATCAGCAGTGTACAGAGTTTTTAGCCCAGCTACTCTGCCAGTCCTTCTGGACCACGATGCCACAGAACAAAGAGAGGAGGATGCAGAGTTAACCGCAGGGTGATGAAGCAAATCTTTTCTGGCCCTTCAGAGATATAGTTGTTCAAACTAATCTCACTTTTCACTTTGGTCTTCATGTTGTGAAAAGCTATGGCTTATCATTTGGTAACTCAAGGCAGGGGATTGTTGCATTCCTTGGTTAGCCCTGTTTCTTTTTTCATTTTATCTGTTGTTCTCTTCTTTATTGCTATTCTTGTGTCCTCGCTGAACTAGACTTTGTGTTTGCAAAGCCATTTTATTGTTTTGTTTTAACCTACTTACCAGATGGGTGGGGTTTACGACATATAGGACAGTAGAATAAGAGCCACACATTACAATCAATTACACACATTGTGTTAAAAACTAGTACACGATCCTTTGATTGATAATCTGTCTGCGTTGTCCTGATGCAGTAATTCCAACTGATCTAGTGCTTCTGAAAGAATCGAACAAATGCTAACAGTTCCTGTTGGATCTCAGGTCGGATTATCTGGTGGGGTTGACGCATTTTCTCATTTAAAAAAAAATTCTCTACTGAAGTTAGACTAGAGAGAACAACACATATTGCTCTCTAACAAAGATCACAACTACAACTGTGGAAGGTTTTTGTCTGCCACCTGTTACTTCAAAGCGCGTGTGTCTAAAGACACAGTCTTAAGTTCACATAGTAGGAACAGTACACAACCAGTGCTCAAAAGACTCAGACATCAGATACTCTCACACACAGAAACAAAATAGCAAAAGAACTCAATTCAATGGTTTCCTTTTTGTTGCGCAAGCTCAAGTACTGTTGGCCTTAGGTGAATCAAGGCTTTAGAGCAAAGTCCTTTCCCCGTGTAGTTCTACTAAAAAGCACCAGTAGAGTTCAGCTGGTCCTGCACCCCTACTGCCACTCCCCACTCCTCAATCCCTCTGCGTAGCAGTCATTAACTGGTGGCAGTCCAGATCTCCTCGCAGCTCCAGAGGGCCCGGCAGCCTCATGCCTGTCTTCTGATCCACACACCAGCACTTTCCCCGCTGGCCGTCACGAGCGGGATGACACTGTGGACATTAAAGATACATAGAACATTCTAGTTACATATAACAGCTTCTTCAACAGGTTCTAGCACAGGGGCCAGCAACCTTATTATCAAAAGAGACATTTTTGTCCAAAAGGAAAAAGGGAAATCAGCCTGGAGCCACAAAATATTTTCAAGCATTATAAAGCTAATTTCTTGCACACAAATCCACCATACCGGTAAGCCAGGAGGTGTTGGTGGTGAAAGCAAATCTGTTCAGGCACTAGTCAATTCTTTATATTTTTTTCTTTTTCTATTTTCTTTTTTTGGGGATTTGGAATCCAGAGCTAGCCTTGTATCCACCGCTATTGAGGTTTGGGAAAATATACAGGAAAAAGCATCAGGTCAACACATAACATATGACTCACATTTTAGTTGACAAAATATTAAAACATTCATTTTTATTCGGTGTGTAATGGCTACACATTTTTACAATTGGAGAATGTAACATCTGTTTAGTTCTACAACAATGATCAATGAAAATATTCAAAAAATAACTTGCTCTGTATCTGCTGTAAGTAAGTAAGTGTTTGCTAACATATTTTACAAGGTGATCATTTGTCATTGTTGTATTTACAGCCTGTTGAAGAATCAATGAATGCAGGTTTATTTAGAGCTGAGCACTAGGTTAGAGGTTACAGAGCAGTGTGATTATCTTGACAGAGTAGATAATGCTTTGTTGGCAGGGCCATAATTCTCTCTGACAGCAAACCTGGCTTTTAAACTTTTAAAGACGTTTTCATTGTTTTGCAGCAGTGTTTGGCTGGAGTTTGTCAGGTGTAACATAATTATAGCACTAGACCACATCAAGACAATGTTGTCTACTTCTACATTAAAGCAAATTACATCCAGCTGGACCTTAATGTTGCCTTAAACAAACTGTGAGAAGTATTTCAAGTCATTTGATGATTTGATTTGAAGCCTCTGTGATTCCTTCTGTGAACTTTGAACAATTCCTGTAAATACAAAATTTATTGCGTGATTTTGTGCTTTTTCTCTGGTGATTTACAGTTTTCAAAAAGCCCCCAAGACCAGTTAACAATCTTAGAGCTACCCTGCCATGAAATGATTCCCAGTTGTCCCTCATGACCTGTGCTTTACTTCCCAATAGGTTTTTTTTTATTTTTTTTTATCACAGTACAGTTTTAGTTAAACAGTAAACAGATGGCTGTGAGTGTGAGCAGACAGAGATACTTGAACTATGTTACACAACCTCAGACTCTTGATGACTGGTGCCTTAGCATAGCTTTCCTTTTATCACTGACTCTGCGTCTGCTGCTTTGATTGCATATACAAGTCAGAGAGGTCTTATCTGTGTTTTTATGTTAGTCTCTCACTCTTATCTGCGTAGTTGCCCAAACATGCAAAGGCAAAATAACGAGTAACTGCATCCAAAAGCTAATTGCATCCATCACAGCAATAAAGTGATTATTGTCCAACAGTTTAGGGGAAACCACTTTACACACACAGCTCAACTGAAAGTAAATCACTTTTCATATGAGCTTAGAAAAATAAGGTCTTGGCATTACCAGGACAGTCTGCTTGGAGACACTTTTGTGTTGATCTTGAACTTAGTAAGACAATATTTCATCGGCTGCAGGCATGTTTTGTGTTTTGGCCCACAGATTGCTGATGTGGTTTGAAAGGAACTGCTTGAAGTACAAAGATAGGCATTTTTATTTGGATTGGCTAAATGATACGGATTCACAGTTCACCCGTACACATGGCCAAATAGTGGTCTGCTCAGTAATTCAATAAAGCTCATAATGAGTGTGTGCTTGAAACCACAGACCTGTTTAGCGTGGAAATCTCCATTCTTGTCACAGTTGGGTATGGGGATTGTGAAGAGATCATCATGTGTGCGGGTATTTGATGCCAATCTGTCCAACGCTCTCTGCAGCTCGGCACGACATGGAGCCTGTTGGAGAAATCGTTTTTTGATTTAATGTTTAATCACATCAGCAGACCTATAGATGTGTGTAGACATTTGCAGTAGCGAAAACTGCTGTGATAAAAAGAAATGCCAAATTCTTATCTTAGATAAAATCTAGACACAACTACCATACGTCAAGATATCATTTCAATGTCTAAAAGAAAAGAAAATAGTAAAAAAAAAATGTCGCAATTTAATACTGATGCTTCTTTTTGACCTACATGAACACACAAGAAGATTGGCTATTTCTATATAGTCATACTTAATGCCTGCCACCGGGTTGGATTTGGTCAGATTCTCCTCCAAATCAATGAAACAAAGCAGTGGAAACACACCACTTTTGTCCACAGGGGCTACCAGAATCAACACAATGAAAGTTACTTGTAGGGGCTTTGAGGTTAAATAAATAAGTAAAATAAATACCAGGCAAACTGGGAAAACAGGACATGTTTTTGGATTCATACTTTTGTTCTCTATTGGGGTAAAAGATTATTACTTAACCTGCTGAGAGCATTGCCTCAAGTGCTCATGGGAACTCATGGCTGTTGTTGCACAGAAGAGTTTATTCAGTATTTGATTATATTATATACACTGTGTTGGAAAAAAATGGGGAAAAGAATCAGAATCAGATAGTTTTACTGTCACGATTTATTTATTGAAATCATAATCAAAGTGCTGTTGTGGGACTAAACTCAACATCCCACAGCTTTTCATTTGTCACCAAGAAATGTCAACAGACTTACATTGTGCATGTATCTGCAAATAGTGCTTTGAGTCAGCTGCAATGAATTCACAAGCCAACTAATGATTGCATGTGAATGCTTCATTAAAAAATAAAAAACGTAACTATCCAAAACGAAAGGTAAACCTAAGTGGGTGGGCAACCCGAGTAAATCTATATGTGTATATATTTGTCTGTATGTGTGGCATTCATGTAAGAAATGTATTTTAAATGAACGTACTAAAATGTGGTAAAACCAGTCTGTTACTGATTAATAGGGATGTTATGATCCTGCTCTTGCCAGTTTTAAAACAGAAAATTGCATGTTGATCTCAATGTGCACCTGTACTTTATTTTGCAAGACCGCAATTAAATGTTACAGTCTGTAAATAACTAATTTGTACAATTTATAACCTGACTGTTACGCTTGTGGCTTTGGAACTATAAAGTCTTAATGTGAAACACCTGCTGGGGTTGAGGCATGTGCTGCAGAGGGGATTGCCCGGGTTGGTTATTTGCTGTGAAACTGATAAGATGTCAGAAGTTTCTCTCACCAGCGCCGCCTTGGTCTCCTCCCTGGCAGTGTTGCTTCTCTGATTTGTGGATTTTGGAGGGTGTCGGGCCAGGGTCTTCTGTATGCAGCGCTTGTCCTGTGGACTGCACCGGATGTTGCTGTTGTTGGGATGCTCAGGGATTATCTCATCCTGCCTGTCCATCGCTGAAGGACAAGAAATAGTGCGTTAGTTCCTTGAATTCAACTGCAAGGTCAACAATGCACTGTCAAAAGTACTGCATAAACAGTTTGCCAAAAACATCTGTAGTGCTCATGTTGCATAATTATCCATGTAACATAATAATATCACATCTTAATGATATCTGCATAATTAAGGGCGACATCTATTATTTTAATGATTTGCTGTATAGAGCAGGAGCTGTTCTGCTGCTCCTCCTTGTCCTTCTACATAACATCACATACAGCTGAACATGGTGAGATGTAGGCTAAAAATGAGGCCAGGTTAACCTCAAGGACACAGAGCTGTGTTCCTGCTCTGGGGGGGGGGGTAATCTGTACCTCAGCTCTTGCCCTGGTACTTTTCAACTACTGCACCACAGACATGCCACGAGCTCTGAGGCTTTTTAAACGATACCACCTCTGTTCTGCCACCCTCCGTAACATTGTGGTCTGTGCCACATTCACCTTTGCATCCCTATAATCCTGCAGTTCTGTGGCCCTGCAGGCAGCCAGCTGCTTCCTCAGGAAATGCCCCCCCCCTCCTCCATTCTCCACCCCTCCACAACAACCTCAGTCTGAGCCAGATGGCGGTTGTTAGAGGGTATTTGCACTGTCACTAGTGGGCACAACTCTGTGTGTGTGTGTGTGCGTACTTGGTGGTTGGGGGGCACAAGATGGGTAAAGTGAGGGATAAAGGTTGTGTGTGTCTTTCTTTGTGCTCATGGTGTGTTGACTTTCATCTGTGGCTTGTAAGACTTGGCAGCATTTGATGCTTTCTGCTCATAACCCATGGCATTTTACAGATTGGCACTGGAATCAAAGAACTTTAAACTGCGGTTTCACCATTTTGAAGCTGTTCTCGCTCTGATCATCGAACCAGATCTGAGCTCTGGTTAATATCTAAGGTCACTGCCAGGCATCCAGTTAATTGCTGTTGGCAAAGAGACAATGATGGTGGGTCAGTAGTAGTCTCTTTAATCCTGTGAGATGTGCGGCCTTCTCTCAGGTCTACAATGCAAGGCACACACACATTCAAAGCAGTGCAAACTTTTCTTTGCAGTAATAGTTCTCAAGCTAGTCCTGGCCCTCCTATATTCAGGATATTGATCCTGGGCAATTTTATGGCGATGACTTGAATTTTTTACAACTCAGCAACAGCAGTTGGAATGTTTCTTTAAACTTCATAGACAGTCATCTTGCTTGGCTTGGCTTGTCTGGGGGGAAGTGTCTTCTGGCTGTTTGTATTTTTAGTCTTGTTGCTGTTAAGCCTTGCTCATCACTTTCTTCCACAAGAGCCAACAGCGTTTCAGCTGTTTCCTTCGTTCCAAGTTGTTCTTTCTCCTCTTTTGCCAGTTCACACTTTTCCGATTCCGCGCTCTTCCGTTGGGCGAGCCAAAGTGATTTAGAAGTGTGTCAGGGGTGGCATGTCCTGTTTGCTACCACTGCTGTTTTCCATGAAGGAAGTTGTCACTTCTCTGTGGGGTTTCATATGATTTGGATCAGCAGCTCTTGGCTTTTGAAACATAATTCCTACAGTGTATTATCAGCTCTGGAGCTGATACATTGCAGTGCATTGCCAGCCACAGGTGCACAGCAAAGATTAAGAAAGGTCCTGAGTAAATATATACTCATGCTCAGAATCAGGAACAGTCTGTACATGTCTTTTGGGTATCTTGATACATTGTAATAAGTTGAAACTAAGCACACAAGGACAACAACAAAGACCACTACCTGTCTATTAATCAGCAGGCTAAATTCATCATCAGATTAATGTGTAAAATCTTTGTTTTATTTTGATAGCCTAGTATGAGGACAATACAACGTGTGATTAGCAGATGGCCACATAGCCAGTGCTATATATATATATATACATACATACATATAATTAATGTGAAACAGCACTGAGCATAAAGTCCATTTTGTTAGCACTTAACTGAAAAATTCCAAATCTATTACACAATAAACTGCATTGTTTGCTCAATCTAGTTCTTAGTTTAATATTTGTTGTCACATATCAACCGACACAGTTGCAAATGTATTTGTCACACTGGCCACCACACGTGAGCATCATTCCTTATGAAGTGAAAGAGCGAGCAGTCTGATTGGCAGGGTCTCTCCCTCTGATGAATACATTTTCTGACTGGGGAAGCATCACTTTCATTGTTATTACATCATGTAATCTGCATTATGACAAGTGCATGCTACGCTTCTGTTTATATGTTTGTCAATCCATGGAACACTAATGTGAGGAGCTTAAGGGCTCATCAGTTTTCAAATTCTGCTGTCAGTGGCTTTAAGGCTGAACTTGTAAACCTCAAAGACAAATATCCTCCTCAGATAAATATTTACTTATGCTCAGTGAGATTGGCAGAGTACTTTCCTACAGTTTATGCTTCCACTAGCTTGGATCTTGGATCTAAGCCTAACGAGATTCTATGTGCGACATTTCTACAAAACCTGAGATGCACCCTTATAAAAATGACAGCTTTATTTGTGCTCTATTTAATACACATACACAGAGGATAGTTTGAAATCACTAAGAGTAGCTGCAGAGTAGCTTCCTAACAGTGTACAGAGCCTGGTTGATGTAGGAGCCGATATTAGCCTATCTAGCTTACTGGCATATGTTATGGGCAGTAAGTAACAAGAACATATGTAAGACAGGCTCACTTTTCAGCTGTAAAATGTTCCACTCAGTACATATTTTGGAGACAGTTTTTGTTATGCTTTCTAATAGGATGTTTGATCTGTGCAGAAAGCTGTATGTGCAGAGTTTGACACTAAAAGCATGTTTTCACATTCATCTGCTGAAAGTAGAAAGCTGCTGAAAATCTTGTTTTTGCTGATCTCCAGGAGTTTCATTTCTCATTTTGCCGCAGTAGAAGAGAACTTCAGGGTGTGTCTGTACACTGTGACATCACTGTTGGGTGTTGTTATATGTGCAACTAGTGCAGTTGTAGGCGTACCATCGCACATTTCTGACTAAACTAAACACTGAAAATCTAATCAAAGAGATAAAAAATAGAGTTAAATTACTCTTTAAAATGTCAGTTTATGTTATGTTTATGTAAAGAAAATAAAAGATCTGATATCCAAAATACAAAAGAAACAGAAATAAAATGGGAGAGCAATGGTGCAATCAGTGTTTTAAAGTTATTTTAAATGTCCAGTGTGTAGCATTTAATGGCATCTAGCAGTGTAGTTTGCAACTCCCTCCCTTCACCCTCCACTTCCAAGTGCGAAGGAGAAACTACGGTGGCCATGAAACAAAAAAAAACGCGAACACCCCTATCTAGAGCCAGTGTTTGGTTTGTCTCTTCTGGCTTACTGTAGAAACATGGCGGTCGAACATGGCTCCATGGAAGGCGACCCACAGCGTCTGTACATAGAAAAGGTCATTCCAAGGTCACAAAAACACAACTATCCTTATATTCAGGTGACTATACACTAATGACTTTTAAGTAGCCATTAGCCTTTAGTCACAATAAAGTGCCACTGCTCACTGCCCTAGGATCAACTACGCCATTACTGAGGCCTTTGCCTCAGCCAGTGTCATTCCTGTTCTGTCATCTAAGTCATTTATCTTTTTCAGACATAGGGATTGGCCCAAATTGTCCATAAAACATGCTTAGATTGGCTTAAAATGTGAGTTTTGCAAAGCAACAGACAGACATTGTTTATAGTGTTATGGTTCTCCTTGACACTTGATAGAATAGATTACAGCATGTTGAATGTAACTAATCATCTTTTGAGAGGCTACTCCTCCAAAATGTTTTGTGCCGGTATGTTTTCAAGAGTTTATGGCTGCGAGCTCAAAAGTCAGCAGGGCTTACTACCAAAAAACTGTTCTTTTCAGTCAACACTGGATGCTGCCAGAGTATCAGGTCGCTGGTTTCCAGGCAGAGGATTTCTTTGAATCAGTTAATCATCAGAGTTGATGTCTAGTGCAGTTACAGGAACACTGTTCAAGACTACAGTGTGCTGTGTGCTGTGCTGTAATAAGGCCAGTGGAACTTTTTATAGTGTCATTTGTCAAAGGAAAGCTTGAAAGTTCAATTAACACAGAATCACAGACTTTTGTGAAAAGGAACCCTGCGGCTGCACTCTCTGATACTGCTCTGGTCACTTCCCATTCAGCTAATGTTCGAACAGACATCCAGATGTACAACATGTTTGAGTCTATTGAGAGTAGAGCAGCAGCAAATTACTGTCCTCTTTGATTTAGTGCTGATTTACCCTTCAGGAAGCCTTCTTTGAATCCTAAATTATACTTTTTAATCTGACAGGTGTTATAGATTATATTTAGCAGAATGCGCTGCTAAACATTGCCACTGCATAACTAAGTTCACAGAAACTGAAGCCAGCTTTAAAATCACCATCACTCTTAGCTGTGGCAGCTTTCTAACAGGTTGTTAATTTTCATTAAAGAAAAAACAATAGTGTACTTTTTATTTCCCTGTCATGTTTTGGGAACTTGTGAGAGGTGTTTGTCACATCCACTGCCTCCTCCGTGATTCATGGTTTCACTTTTCATTTAGATGAAAACATGATCAAAGACATCTGGATTCCTGTCACTTATCCAACAATATAAACTGAACTGAACTGAGATATTATAGTCATCTTTAACCTCAGGGACATAACTCCATAGGCTGGACTCCATCCACTGCTTGTTTAGTAGATTTATTTGCTTGCAGATCTGTGAGTAAATTTTGTCGTAGTGAGTTAGACTAATCTTAGCCATCCATCACTTGTTGATACACTGATACTACTACTACATGTAATGAATAGACCTATGAAGGGAGGGAAACCTGCAGCTGCAGCAAATTAGGTCAAACTATTCTGGGTTACATCATTAACTTAATTTTGAGTGGATTGTTCTTGTTTTAATGTTTGTACATAATCAGGGTCTTCAGTAAAAGTGCAAGGAGAGGAAATTAATATAACAGCATTTCTACCAGCCGGTGAAGGGGTGCGTTACCTGGAATATTAGTAACAAATAAAGCATTTCATCTTTATGAAAGGCACAAATTAACGGTAAAAACCACTGCTCAGAAAATAGACTTCATGATCAAAATGACCATTTATCAAGACATTGAGATATTGAGATATGTTCATGTATGAAATCTTAAAGATTCACTGTTGTCCGCCGATTAGGGCTTTTATGTTTGTGTATCTCTCAGCTCCAACACTAGAAGGGGGTCCCTGTCCCATGGAGGACAGCAATTAGCTAATCACATTTACTCCTGCCCCAGCTGTACAAATGTGCCGCACAACCCAAAGAAAGCAAATACAGAACATTAAGGGACATCTGCTGAAAGAGGTTTGGGAAAAGCCTCATATAGCACCAGAAAATACATTCACATCTTTAACCAGTTCACAACTCCCAGAACGTGCTGAAGAGCCCTCGCTCGTAGGAGAAAGGAAAATCTAGGTTAGCATGCTGCTTTCATAAAGACCTGTCTGCGTCACAGCAAATTGGGCAGAGTTGGACAGAGTCTGGCTCCACCAACAGCTTCATTCATGCAACTCCTTCAGTGCCTGTAGGTGTAAGACTTTTTATATCTGACATCTGTATCAGTTTGTAAATAATATCCGTTTCACTGTCGGGGGGAAGCATTTGAATACGACACCCGGGCAGACCCGGCAGGAATGTAGGAACAGACGCCAACACACGCATGATGATTTATTCTAAGTATTAAGATAGAGAGGGCTTCTAAGAATGGGATATTAAGACGCACTAAAGCTGTCTTAGACCTTGACATAAGATGCAAGATAGTGCTTGTTGCTATGGAAATTTGGTTCAAGAATAGCCTTAAGGTTGATACATTTTTAAGAGAAATACAATGTTTTGAACCAAAGAAAAAGGTCTAATAACTCTTGCCAGCCTAATTTAATGTATTACCTTTACTTAGGTACTTTTTATTGGTAGTTAGCAGCTAGCCTTTAAAGTGACAATCATGAGTCAAATCTTTGCAGTACAAGTGTTATCTTGCAGTATTTAGATGAAGAGGTGTAACTATTAGCCTGAACACCCTAAATTCCCTCCAATGGGCTGTCGAGATCTGCCTCTATCCCAGGGTCCTTTTCATTATGAATTCTCTTGGTTTTTAAAAACCCTCTTTCTATTTTTATCTAGCATGTTCACTGTTGCTAGGAGTGGGGCAGTGTCAGACATGTATTCAGGAGATGCACCCCCTTGTTTAATAATGCATAAGTACGGTGAATGTGCCACAAAGGAAATCTCCTGCTTGTGACTGGAGTTGCTCTTCGCCTCTCCCCCGTGTCTTTCTGATTGTCTCTCTGCTGCCATGGTTTACATTCAACATTCTTATACAGCAGATCTGAGCTGCTGCCCAGAAGAATTGATTTACAGTGGGATTTATTGGGCAGAGCTTCCCCACTTTGTTATGACAGACTCCAGGGGTGAGAAGGAGTGTGGAGGCAAACAGAACTCAGTGCTCATGTTACAGAACACCAAAAACAAAACTTATGAACTTTCTAAAATGTTCCAACTACTGCCGCCCCACCCCGAAGAAAGGACCCGAGACTCTCCCCAGTGCACTATAACCCAGTTCCGGGCCAGCCGATCGGACAATGTAGCATCAAAGAGCAGAAATAATGTTTCAGGGCTAACAGGCGGTCCAATCCGAGACAGCCATCCATTTTTATCATGCTCTAAACAGCTTGCCTCTTCTTTCTGATTCCTTTTAGTCATGCTATGTGCCGGCCTAACCTATGCTGGCCCTGCACAGAGAGCAGAAGGCTCTCATTTCAGCTCTGGCAGCAAGAGTGCCGATGAGCTCATCCTCATGAAGGAGCTGGACGTGGTGGGCGATGTGCTCAAAGGCTTGTTAGGGCTGGAGGGGGGAGGGGAGGGGGAGGGGGTGCACCCAGGGCCAGGGGAAATAGATGCTGCAATGGAGATGAGCATCCTGGGAGCTTTATATTGGCTAAGTTGATCCAAATCTTTGGTGTTCTGGCGCTAACAGACGACTTACTGTCATTACCAGTAACTGTCTGGGATCCTGGGCCAGTTAGATGATAATCTGGAACAAATGAAAGAACCACCTTGTCTGTGACACGTTCTAACAATTGTCTCATATGGCATAATGGAAATCAACACCACTCCCTTTGAGCAGAGCACAGGAAGGCAAGCAGTGGAGAGCAGTTTCCTCAGTAGAAAGAAGTTAACGTCAAAGCAGTGAACTGGAACTGGATATGCAGATAAGACATCCAGCACTAGACATCCCACTGTGTGAAAGTGGAAACAGACTTTCTTCTTTGCAAAAGGAATGCAACAACAAAGAGGAGAATAAGAAGTCAGCCCAGAAGAGTGTGATAGAGATGTGGACAGTAGAAGAAGAGTTAGACATCTGCAGCAGCAGCAGGAGCAGGAGGAGCAGGAGGAGGAGGAGGAGGAGGAGGAGGAGGAATGGGGGCGTCCATGAAACAGCACCAAGTGAATTACTGATTGCAGAGAGGTCTAATAGCCCCAGACTGGCCACACTCCATTACAGTCATTTCATAGAGCAGCTTTTATTACCTCCTCCCATTACAAACATACACTCACATATTCACTTCCACACACACACACACACACACACACACACACACACACACACACACACACACACACACACACAGACTCTCACATTCCCAGTACCACCACAATGCATTTCACTGCCTGCACTAGACGACTACCTGCAGGATCTCAGTTTAACATTGGCATGATGAGGTAATTGCACACCCAAGGGTTGCTGGGAATTTTTTGTGTGACTATCTGCATTAACCAGATGCTCTAAAACAGTTAACTATTTTGCACGCCACACAGTCATACAGGAGACACAGTACAAGCTCCTCACACACACTCACATGCACACACGCCCACTCCAAGCTATCACCACAGCGCTCTCATCTCTGAAGCCTCTGCGTCTTACAGCAGGGCCCCTTTCACTGCGAGCGGCTGCAAGACAGCAGGGGGACTGTGTGCGCTCTCCCATCAGGCCATGCGTGAGGAGCTGGTGTGTGTGCACGCTCTGGTTCGGGGCTTAGCCGAGATTAGGGTAAACAAGCAGCACATTGTCACACCCACACACCCCCCCAACTCTGACCCTGCCCGGCTCAGGTAAGGCCCAGAGAACGGAGACAGAAAATATTCTGCTCTGCCCTGCTCTGCCGTGGGTCCACCGAGCAAGAAGGACACAGAGACAGCAGCCCAGGTTCAGAGAGACCTGGTCAGCTGTGGCTGACAGTTATTACATGCTTCATAGTATGAGAGCAGCTTGACATAGACATTTGCAGAGATATCAAATGTGGTATGAAAGCTTTGCTGCTGTGAGCCTAATAGTAATTGACAGTAACTAAAAGAAAGAGGAAGTGCCCTGTGTAAAGAATTCTTTATCAGTTCACACACAGACTCTGACCCCTTCACTCTCACCTGAGTTCTCGTCCACCTCTCTCTCATCGGTGCACACCCCCTGGCCGTGCATTAATGAGTGCAGTGGCCTCTCCACGCCACGCGGCGGGTAGCAGCGCAGGCCCGTGCCACATCGGGGGGAGTAGACGCCACAGTGAGCCCCCTTTGGCAGGGCGCAGGTGGGGCAGCAGCCGCAGCCGGGCTCCCGCACTGTCTCCTCGCAGCCTTCCGGCAGACGGCAGCTGGCCAGTCTCTCCTCAGAGCACACCGGGCAGCGGATGGCCTGGTCTGACAAGCACAACGCCACCATTGACAGGGCAAACACCCAAAAGCCCCAGCAGGATGAAGCTACTGCCACGCCACTTCCACGCACCATGGCAGCCCCGGCACCTGCACACAATCCTTTACCCTCGTGTATGGTCCCCTTTTGCTTCCCTTCTCCTCTCTGAGTGTTTTGCTGCTTTTGATCACTTTCTATTTCAACAGCAGATTTTAGACCAACAAGGGAGGTTTGAGAGGAACGCTTTGTCCAGGATGGTCTTTGATATTTTCAGCTGGTTAGTGTTTCAACTGCAGGGACACAATGCCTCTGCTGTATTGCCTCTCCGTTCCTCTGATTCAATTTCACAGCACAGAAATTGGAGCCTGCTGGTGATCTGCTCGGCTGGCGAATGTAGTTGTGATAAGAACTAGTTTTTGTTATGGTGAAATGAACAGTTGCAGGAAGGATATCCACCACTGTGTTCAGGTGAGTGTTGCTCTCTCTTCGAGTGTGAGTCCAGAGGCTCGCCCGCCCTCTAATGAAGCACCAAAAAAATCTGGTGACTAGTGTCCAAATGCAAAGCAGGTCATCAAAAGGCAGTGTTTTAAGTAACAGCTGCAGTTTCCTCTTCTTGCTGGTGTGCAGTGCAAAGAACTCGCTCCTGAGAATGGCTCAACACGAGTGGCTCTCCTTGGACTTTATACTGGTCCATGGACACGCCTCTTTCTACAGTGAGAGAGGAGCTGAAAGGCACAGCGGAGAAAAGCCAGGCTAAAGCTCTCTCCCTCTGTCTCCCTCTGTCTCTCTCTCTCTCTCTCTCTTACTCACAAGCTTATATACACTCTCCCTCACTTGTCTTCTCTCAATCCTGAGTGCACAGAGAGAAATGCTGAATTGCCCTCTCACTTGTTCACACAGAATACACTTAGTTCTCTCTTCCCACTATCCCATTATCATTCTTTTCAGTCGAACATGTCCAACATTTTTCACACAAATGTATAGATTTGCCTTGATAAAACAGAAGAAACATTCGGGTCCATAAAAAACAAAAAAACAGAGGACACATCAGTGCTGTTCCACTTTAATCAACCACACATATGTGCCTCTGGGGTTGAAAACTGGTTCAAACAACAACACAACCTCGTGCCTGCTCCTTCAACAGGGTCTCAGTGTGTGTTTGCATACGTGTGCATCCAGTGGTCAGTCCAGTCTGTGTTGTTGCCCCCCCCCATCCCACTCTCATTATGTCGGCTTCTTTCTCTTTCTTTCTGTTGCTACTAACTGGAGTGGGCAGCTATAAAAGGCAAATGGACAGTCTAACCCCCCCACCCCTCCTCATTGCCGCCCTGCCCCCACCAGTCCTAAAAAAGCCTCCCACCAGTGGGATTGCAGGATAAGTTTTAACAACGCTGCAAGCTGGGATAGTTTATTATACATGTGTGTGTTTCTGATCATCAAAGAGTCTTTAAATCAGTGTGTTACTTTGTTCTTGTTTGCCCGTGTGTGCAGATATGCCCTACACCCAGCCTTTAAGGTTTTGAATCATGGCTTTTATTGGTCGTCGTCTCTCTCGCTCTCTTTTTTTTTCTTGTGTTCATTTGCCTTCATTTTGCCATGGAAACCCAGCATGTATTATAATGCCTTTGTGAGTGTGCTTTCTTTCGGCTGTTTTCTCCTAGCTGGTAGCTGGTTGCCATAGGCAGACTAGCGGCAGCAGGCAAGCCTTACAAGGCCGTACACCACTCAGGTGGGTGCTACAGTGTGTGTTGTTAGTAACACGGCACCCAACCCTGCTTGGTAAATGATTAGAAATAAGTCAAGAAAATATCAGTGGCCATGGCACTTTCTGCATTGTAGGTCAAATATTTGAAAGAAAAACGACATCTGGTCAATTTCAAGTAAATAGCTTTAATGAGATGACTGACTGTAATAACAATGTACTAAAGCCGTTGGAGAGCTGCTTACTGGTCCTGGAGCTCACAGGAGGGCCAGCGGCTTCATTATGTGTCATTTATGAGGTGTTTGACTGTGTGTGTGTGTGTGTGTGTGTGTGTGTGTGCGTGTGTGCGGGGGGTACCATGCAGGATGGTTACTCAGAGGTTAGGAGGATTAGTAATGCTGTTTTGTAGGTGTTTGCTGTTTGCCAATGAGCTGTATTTGAGTGTGTCTGCAGTTTCATATTTCACCAACAGTATTTTTAACTTGTAAATCTTTGTAATAGACTACGAGAACTCAATTCTCAACTCAACTTTATTTACATAAGACTTTAAACACAACACAGTTGATCCAAACAGGACACACAGAGGGAAACAAACAAAAGAAGGACGACCACGACGATGATGATAGTGGTACATGGTCACACAGAGCTCATAATAACAAGACAGACCTAGAGCAATAGAGCAGAGATAGAGAAGGTCCTGTCCCCATAACACAGTCCTGGATGTGGGGACCACCAGAAGCCTCAGATGATCTCAGTTCTCTCACAGTGTGATACGGGGACAGGGGTTCTCTGATGTAAGAGGGGGTGAGACAGATTAACACTTTAAAAACAAACAGGATTTTCAAAGTCAGTCCTGGCAATGACGGGAGCAATGTGCTGCATTTTGAAATAGTTGTTTATTTATTTATTACTATTTTGAACTGAGACGGGATAGACAAGACTGAGTGATACCAAAGTATGAAGAGATGCAGTAATCGAGGCAGGGGGAAATGAAGAGATTACTTTTTCCAGGTCTGAAGTACAGAGAATTTATCTGAGTTTAGAAATGATGCAGAGCTGCATGGAGCTTAATTATACTGCCTGATTGATTTGTCTGTCAAAGCTCAATCAAGAATCGAATATGATGGCCAGAATTTTTAAGATGTGGTTTAACAGAGAGAGTCAGTGGGCCAAGATGATGAGAAATGCTGTGCTCTAAATAGAATAACATCAGTTTTATTCTCATTGAGCTGAAGAGAGCTTGCAGCCAATCAGGATTCGATTTTTTTATAATGACATTTTGTGCCTGTATCAGATTAGAGGGACAACAGGAAATGAAAGGCGAGACAGATGAAAAATGACATGTAATAAAAGTCCCTGGCCAGGAATGAACCAGGGACATAGCAGTTCATGCTCATTGCCTTAAATCCCAAGGCCACCAGGGTGCCCCATCATCTAGATAGAGGGATTTTATTTTGCTGTTTTTAGGTTTTTCATGTCATCAGTTCATGTTTTTTGTTTTGTTTTTTGGCCTAAAAATCAATGCCTTAAGTTTAAGATGTGATTGCAGTTGTGGTAAAAACGTTATTTGTACATGATGTCATTGGCAGTTTCTTTTGTCCAATGCAAATTCCAATAAATACATTCAAACTCAACAGGAACAAGAGACAAAATTGGCTCTGCTGTTTTTAAATGTTGTACAGAATGATATTATTGATTGGGCAGAGAAAAGTTGGAATGAAAAGTAGCATTCTCGTTTGGCCACAAGATGGAGTAATAGCTCCTCAAATGGAAACAAGGCAGGAACCATGTGGACAGCCTGAAGTGATCGAACCCCTCATCAGTTCTTTGTTTCACTCATCAACATACAGGGTTTTAGACTCTGCCTGCTTAGGTTTTGTAAAGGAATTTTTATAATATAATCATGAAAATGGTCAGGAGTAATCTAAACCATTGGTGTTGCTAGTCGGCTGTACGAGCATGTTTTGGTCTTTGTTGCTCCACCTTTTCAAAATAAGTTCCTGTTCCTTTAAAGGATCTCTCCAAAATTCACCGTAGTGACGTTGCGTATATTCCATATTCAGAGAAAGTCCAGTGGCGGAGTGTGGAATCTCCTACTAGAGAGCGGTTCTCCTCCGAGTGCTGAGCAAAAAGCAGGTAAGATCATTTTATCACACAGTATTATCTTCCAACAAAAACTAAAACCCCAAAAGTACCTTGGTAATAATTGTAACGTGTAGACATGCGCTTTTCAATTTCACTTTGATCGTGTGAGAAAGTTTGTTATTGCTGTATTTTCCTCACTGAATGTCATGTAAGAGTAGTTACAGCTCTCTAAATGATGAAAACGTTTCTAAGTAACAGCTTAGATTTTTTTGTTAGTTACATTTGTAATATACATTTTATTGAATGATTTAATGACATTTTTTTAAGAGTAAGATACTTTGGGAGTTTTAATCAGTTCAGTGATACAGGGCATCTAAAGCAGTACTGCACAGTGGGATATTTTATTTCCTTATTAATTTTCAAACTGTGGCTACAAGTGTTGGAGTCGCACTGGCTGTGGAAAGCGCTTTTACACTTGCTCCTATGTACAGACCTGGCAGGAAGTACATGTGCAGTGAACATCATCTCTTTCTCATAAGGCTAAATGTAGTGACAGGGTCGAGCAATCAACCGTGGGCCTTCTTTTTATGCTGTCCAACCAACAGGAACAGTGAGATGCAAGCGTTGCTTCTATTTCTTAACATGCTTTGTAGAAATAGTAAGGGAGGCTTTTAATAGTGTCAAGAACATAAAGAAAGTGTATAGTGTCAGTGTCTCTAACAAAATGTCACATCACGAATGTATGCAGCAAACCTGCTTTTTATAATTAAAGAATTGTTCCGTAAACACTTCACAACAGAGTTAGTTGTGTAAGCTGCCATAAAAAGGAATCTGGCGTGACCTGGTTAGACTTATTCAGATTCCAACTACCTCTCATTAACCAGATATAGTCATTTCTCTCCACAGAAGATTTTTTTCATCATGGACACAGATAAACATCCTGAATTCATCACCCCAGAGGAAAATGGAATGGGTGAGTATCTGATTCCTCATCTTTAATGTGAGAATGTACGTGATCAGGCTGCACACATTTCTCCACAGCTGCCACCATCCTGCCTACTGCATTGCCTGGGCGCACATGACTGTAGAGTACTGAAAGCTGAAGGTGTATATGTAGAGGGGTTTTGTGCGGGTTGCAGTTGATATCAGACCACACGTTTTCTTTGTCCCCGCAACAGCAAGATGAAGCACATTTAGTGCTGTTGAAGAGATTTTAAAATGAGAACTGTAGTTTACTGGTGTGTGAAGTTCTCTTAATGAAACAAAAAGTAACACAAAGTTTTTACACATGCACAATGTGTCACTTTTTTCAGACGTTTGCAGTGATGTTGCAGATGTGAAGCCACAGGAGGAGAAAGAAGAGAGGGAGGATAACTCATTTAGCGAGAATGGAATGCAGGGTGCCGAAGGTGTGACAGATCCACGTATGTGTACCCACACACACACACACACACACACACACACACACACACACACATACGTACGCTTCATATCTTTGAAATCTTTCCATTACACCTTGCATTTTAGCCATCAAGTTCACACAATTTAGCATCGTACAATTACTTTTCTGACCGCGGGCAATTGGAAAAAGTGTGAGGGACGCTGCTGCATACACAGATATTTGATACAATGAAACGCTCCTGTAATGGGAAAAATGTGAAGTCTAGCAGAGGAACTAAAATAACTCTTATTTTTAGAGTGGCCACTGTGGGGTTCTGTCTTTATCTTCAGGGTTTTAATGGTTTCATATATAACATTTTCTCAGCCCATAGGAACGAGGACAGGTCTTTGACTTGAGTTAAACATGTAAATATTTTCAATAAAGATAAAGACCAGATGCAAGGTTTTTTTTATCCAACAGCGGATTAATATAATCAACTATAGGCAGATTTCATTCGGTATGATTGACATGTGTCAAAGTAAGAGCCATTTGTATGTAATCCAACGGATCAGACTGGAAAGGTATCATGAAGATATTGGTGCTCTAGTTATCCCGAGGTATAGTTAAAAGCACCCTCTTTGTGTCTCCTGCATTGGTGCTCCTAATGAGGTGTCATTCAGTTCAAATAATTCTCAGAATTTAATTTAATCTGGTTTCAGCGCTGTTCGGGTAACAGTGTCAGGTCAACCTGGTTTTGGTTTTGTTCCTCACTGCAGTGTCATGTATTGTATGATAAAAGTTACATCATCTACATAATGTTATAAAATTACATTGTCAGATATTATGGGCATTTATTTATAGAAACTCAGCAGTGTACCCTCACACCAAGAAACAACATTTTACACTTTTCTAAGCTTTGACCACCTTGTTCACATGATATTTTGAGTGTGGAAATGTTTTACTCAGCCTTGTGGCCTTAGTCCCTTATTTGTCATAAAAAAAAAAGAACATGGTGTTACAGACAGCTCTCCTATTTATTGCTGACTGCCACCCATCTGCCCCAGTGGGTGCATTTCCTAAAACCCTGCTCTGCTTCTGATGCGCAGCCTGCGGTTCACTGCTCTGAGACCCTGGACTCTATATCGGGCCTCTCGGAGCTCTGTGTGTGCAAAGTTTCCATAGCACCTCTGAGCGCTTTCCACAATACAAGGCGCTGCTCTTCAGCTCATCACCAGTCACCGCCAAGACCACAGTGTGGTTTCTGGATGGAACTGAGTACGCTTGGGGTGGTTGACACTTAGTAAAAGGCTAGGTGAGAGGTCCTGCAAACCAGGCCTCGGGACTTTGCGTGTCAACAGTTGTGGTGTTGAGACATTTACATACAGTTGATCCTGTATGTCGTGGAAGTTTGACCTACTGTAGGTCAAAATCTGTGAAAAATGGTCAAGAAAAAAACAATGGGAAAAACTTATCATATATCACATATCATAGAAGCAGACTAGAGTTAGTGCTCTGCTGGCTGATAGAGGAAATTAGGGTTAGTTAAATTAGGGAATTAGTATGTTTGGTGCAGATTAACGTTGGATTTTCTGCGTCTGTGACACAGGCAATAAACAATCAATCTGAAATCTCTTTTTAAAAGCAGATGAGGAATTGGTGTTATCTATGCGAAGCGTGTGCTGCGTCTCTGTCCTGCCCTGGTTCTAGTTTCTCTGTATTCAGAGGAAATGCCTTACCCTTATCTTGAGCAAACATCTTCTGAATCTCTTTGTGACACCATACAGCGGCCCAATTTAAGCTACCCACACTTTGGAGATGTGCTAGTACTAATAGCAAACTTATCAACTAAAAATACAAACAGAAGTGAAGTGAAGTTGTGACAGTGTTTCACGGTCTGTTTGGAGTGGAGTATCATTAAGCCTATTTGGTACCTTATTTGGAAGTGGGAACAACTTTTGCATCTGTACTATATCACTCCATATGTCTTGTCTATGTAATAAGGTGCTCTTTGTCACTTGTCACTTCATGTGCGTTTACATCAAATGTCACCTGTTGCTTCGTCCTTGCTTAGGTGTGATAAAGACTGAGGCAGAGGAGATAGAAGACAGCGAAGAGTACCCCAAGGCTGCAAAAGAAACAGAGATTGTACCAAAAGAGGAAGCAGAGGGTGCTAGTGAAGACGGGATGGAGGAAGGATTTGATGATCAGAGGACAGAGGAGGACGACGATGATGAGGAGAGGGACGGGGAGGGGGATGAGGAGGGAGATACCCTGAATGAGCCACAGGACCTGTCACTGGTGGACTATTCGCGTTACGACAGCGCGGCCCTGCCAGACGCCCACGCAGAAGCAGCAGCTGGTGCAGAGGGGACCTATGTGCCTGGAGCCGTGGCACCCCGCATCCAGACGGCAGGCAAGCTCAACTGTGACATCTGCGGCCTGTCCTGCGTCAGCATCAACGTACTGCTGGTGCACAAGCGCAGCCACACGGGTAAGCACAAGAACACAGACCAAACACCTGACCTCAAATACAACAGTTGTGCAATCATCACCCTGTTGATAGTAGGGGGAGATAGCGCCTTGCATTGACTAGGTCAAGATGTTTGATCGAATAGCTACGATTAAGAGCGCGCAAGTCTGCATCATATATGACGCACGTGTCTTAACCAGTGCTACAGCAGCAGGAGGAGGTTGTGAAATGTCCTCTATTGTTGTTCAGATAAAAAAGCACATGCAATAACTTTGTGATTTGATCACAGTAACAGATAGGACAACACAACATAGTACATCTACAGTCATTATTCTGCCCTGAATTATGCAGTTCCTGTAATAATTACCTCATGCATATGGTTCATGAAAGTATTCAAATCAAGTGCTGAGAAGAAAGTACACTATGGAAAATAATGTTCATCCCATACACATGAAGCATTTTCTGTCACGGTTAGCTAAACTTGTTGTTGGCCACATCTGCACACATCACATATTACCAGAAAACAAAATTTACAAAGCCTGTCAAGGAATTATTGTTACAGGTTCTGCATTTAATGCAGGGAAAAGTGATTGGTCTCTCTGTGTCTCTCATTCCCGCCATCACTCTTCAGTGTGATCAACAAAGGTTACCATACTAATATAATAACCATGATGCATTTACTTTGATGCTTATTATTTATCATTTATTATGACTTATTTTAAGGGATCCTCTGGCATCGTTAGGTTGAATTCATATTGATTTTAGTAGCAAAATATACATTTTTATTTGCAACTTCATTTTACTGGTGAGTAGCTAAATGGTAGAAGAAGGTTGCCTTCAGATGGAACTCATGAGGTTGCATTTTCGACACGAGAAGTGAAGTGCACAATATGTTTGGCATTTGTGTGGTTTGAGTCGTGAGAACATTGTTTCTAGGTTTCTGGCAATCAAAGTGGATGTTGCCTTGTTCCCTTTTCAAAGATGGTGAATGATTCTGTGTTTTTGCAATTCACTGTAATGCTGGGAACAAGAAAAGAGTTGACAGCTAAAGTATATCATAAAGAAACAGTTCATTTAGAAAATGGCATCTATCAGAAAATAGAGCTGCAACAAATAATTCATTAGTTGTCAATCAGTCGCCAGTAAACTGAATATCTTTGGGCTGTGGACAACACAAGACATTTGAGGATGTTACCTTGGGCTTCAGGAAACACTGATCAACGTTTTTCACGATTTTCTGACATTTTATGGACCAAACAACTAATCAGTTAATAGAGAAAATAATCAACAGATTAATTGATAATGAAAATAATCATTAGTTGCAGCCTTATCACAAAATTTACACTTACGAAGTTGTGAACACCACATCGATGTGTAATCTACATACAGTCAGACCAATAATCCCAACACAGTGAATCTGCAACAACAGATAACTTACAATGACCAAACTTTCATGGTAAATCAAATATATTAAAAACCAATGTCGTGTTAAGATGTGAAATGTGCAAGATGTGTTTTTTTTTCTCACTCAGGTGAGAGGCCATTCCACTGCACTCAGTGTGGGGCCTCCTTCACCCAGAAGGGAAACCTGCTTCGCCACATCAAACTGCACTCCGGGGAGAAGCCTTTCAAATGCCCGATGTGCAGCTACGCCTGCCGTCGACGTGACGCCTTGAGCGGGCACCTGCGCACCCATTCTGGTACCAGCCAGCCACACACTCGCTCATTCACTCACATGTGAAGCTGATATGCACTGATACTGTATGCACCTGTGTACAGTATCATGTTGGTTGGTTTCTCACTCCTTCATGTTGGTTTCTCACTCCTTTTGAATCTGAACACATGAGGTCTGCTGAGCCTGCATGGCTTTTCCAGTAACACCCTGCCATGCACTCTCATACGGTTACACACATCACATATGAAATCTTACTCACTTGCCTCTGGAAACTTACTCACTTTCAGTTCACGTGTTTTACCTGCAGATGTGCTGCACAATGTCTAATATGCAGATCATCAGTTTTGTATGAAACCACTTATAATAGTCATTGTACCATTTTAGATGTTGTTGATGTTTTATGTGTTGATGATTAACTTTAACTCTTGCTCACAGTAGAAAAACCTTTCAAGTGCAACCACTGTAGTCGCAGCTACAAGCAGCGCAGCTCCCTGGAGGAGCACAGAGAGAGGTGCCATGTGTACATTCAGAGCAAAGGTCCCGCTGAGAGAGGTGAGCAGCCTTGTGTCAACGCCGCTTTCTAACACTCGCTTCATCAACAACAACATCTTCAAAACTCCAACAGTCCTCACAGCACACAAAAGACATACTTCACACTGTTAATGTAGTCAGACCACTGCACAGACTACATAAACACACTGGTACATACTGTATGCAGCAGGCACCCGATTAAAGCTGTTATTGCTAACAGATCCTGTTTTTATAGCCTCATTAAATTAATGAGCATATGGCTGTTAGCCCATCATTACAGCTAAATAGGTTATGGCTGCTGTGGTGTGGAGGCTCGGTGCTATAAAGACTGCTTCTGATGTCTATAGCGGCAAAGGGGAAGCCAAATACTGTATGTAGGGCAAACACACACCCTCTATGTCTATAACCTCCCCCCCAAAATGCCTTTACATACTGACAGGACAGTTGCACAGTTGCAACACACAGACAATGCTGCGCTTCTGTGGTCACCAAATGTCGTAAGTTTATGCCTGATAGTGCCGTAGTGGTGAGGAAGTACATCCTCATCCTGTGGTCTCCTCCTGCACTGGTGAAGTAGAAAAGCACCAGGAAGTGAGGTCAAAGGAGCTTCTGATGTCAAATTAATATTGTCGTTCCTCTGTGACTCCGCTTTGAGCAGCTGGTGTGTGTTGCAAGATTTTTTTTCTACTTCGCTTTATAACCACAAAAGCTTTGACAGGTGGACAGCCACAGCTCAGCGCACTCCCTTTACTTATGATTATGCGCGATTGAGAAGAGGTCTTTGTTTCCTTGTTGCACTTAACTCTCTCACTCTCTTGCTGTCAAGCAGAGGACGGCCAGACATCCAGGACTCAGATGGGCACTGAGCGTGCTCTGCTGCTCGACAGGCTCGCCAGCAACGTAGCCAAGCGGAAGAGCTCAATGCCACAGAAGTTCACCGGTAAGATCAGCTGAACTCACAGCACAGACACGTAGAGGTTGAGTTGAGGCACTGACCTTAAGTAGAAGAAACAGAAATGTGTTTGTTTTTTTATTTTAAAGGAGCTCATAGCATTACTTAATATTATGAATGCCTGCATTGTTGATATGTTTATCTATTTAATTGTTACTTGATATTTCTATATCTGTTAAAGCCCACCTGTTAAACAGCTATAATATGCTGCTGTCTGTTTTTAATGTTTTTTAAAAATTGTGCCATTTGTGCTTTTTGCTGTGCATTTATGCTTTACAGTACAGAGTTTGTGTTTTGTAGATTATTTCAAGTTCTCTGTCTAAGCTAGTTGTTTGCCTGTCTGTTTGTTTTTGCTGGCCTTCATCTCTTGCCAAACAGGAATTGAGGGCAGAGCACCTGCCTCATACCTGCACGAGAGTGGTCTCCACTGTCCTAAATTCTCTGCCAGAATTGTGTCATAGGTGGGTATTGGTAACCATGCATGGTTAAATAAATAGAAACATGTAAAAAAAAAACATGCACTTGAAACTTCCCAGTTTAGTTACTCACTTTGTATGTTTTGATTCAAACTCAGATAATGTGCCTGGGCGATGAATGATCAAAAGATATCAGTTTCAGTAAATAGCTGACTTGACGGTGCACACATTTTCAATACTTGGCTCTCACCCTTCTGGTTAAGCCTAACTAGCATTGGGTTGTAGTTTCGCAATCAAGCCTCAAGCTGCTCGCAAAACGAGGGTGTATTGGCAAAAAAGCCCTCCTACACCTTGTATCAGGTTGACAAATGAAGTGAGATCTTTCAATATGACAACCACAGGGGGAAAAGAGAAGTAAGTCTGCAACCGCAGAGAGAGAGAGAGAATAGGCGGGAGGCGAGAAACGTGAGCAGGTGCCTCTCTGTCTATATACTTCTGTGGTGCACTAGAGGCCTTCGTCTGCGTCGTCTGCTTCCTCTCAGCCTTCTGTCCTCTCATGCCTCCAAGCTCAACTGCTCTCTCAAGATGCTCTGATGCTTTAAAGCTTCTTTTGTCCTGTGAACCTGCATGTTCCAGTTTACTCTGTAGGTTTTACTTTGTGTCGCCCCAGGGGTGCACATTTTTCTCATTGCCTCTACTCAACACCAAAGTGAGGAACCCTTAGAGTCCTGTAAGGATCTCTATTAGATCTTTTTCCATCTGTAAGCAATAACTGCTTTAACTGCTGCTTGCTGCCTGTGGTATTTCTCTGCTCATGTTGTTGGACGAAATATGTGAAACCTCCTCCTGCGGAGTTTTGAGTGTCCTTTTTTCTCGTGTTGCTGGTCTAGGCGACAACGGTGTCTGCCTGGACCTGAGTTTTAACAGGGAGCTGGTCCACCGAACTGACATCAAGGACCCTCCGCCGGGCTCCCCAGGGCCCGACACCCACCATCAGTCCATCCTCACAGGGCCAGAGGGTGACCCCACTCCCTCCCACAGGCCCTACCCCATCCCATTAAGCCGCAATGACATCAGCCCCATGGGCCTCACCAACGGCCACAAGATGGGCATGCCGCTCCTAGGCCTCGCCCATGCCGCCCAGCCACCCCTCAGCATGGACTCGTTCCACACCGACGGCTCCCAGATGTCCCAGCCCGTCATGTACAGCTTAGGGCACCTGCTGGGAGGGCTGAACCACCAGAACGGCATCCCTCACCCACACACCCAGCCCATCCCGTTGTCACCGCTGGATGCTTTACGGGTGGTTCGGGCTGACGGGGAGGCAGGAGCGCTGCCCGGGGCGGTGTACCCCTGTGGCCACTGCCGGGTGATCTTCCTGGACTATGTCATGTTCACTATCCACATGGGGTGCCACGGCTTCCGCGACCCACTCGAGTGCAATGTGTGTGGACACCGCAGCCGGGACCGTTACGAGTTCTCCTCCCACATAGCCCGTGGCGAGCACCGCCTAGAAGTGAAGTAGCTTTCATTCATGCAGACGTTCATGCTTACACACACACACACACACACACACACACACACACACACACACACACACACATGCTCAGACAGATATCAGTGTATGAGCACACACACAGATTTACTCATATAAGTAGCTGGTAGTATCAGAAATGAAAGCATGAAGTAGCAGCTATCTCTCTCTCTGTATGTTGTGTGTGTGTGTGTGTGTGTGTGTGTGTGTGTGTGTGTGTGTGTGTGTGTGAGAGAGAGAGAGACGTTATAACAGTGTGGCTGGTGTCAGAGCGTTCTTAGTCATCCTGTACTCATCTGAAAAGATGGCCTGTAAAGTGTTTATGTATTTGAATTTAGTAATTCAGTAACATTTGTACTTATGATCCCTGCTGTAGCTGCTGTTTATATCACATAGCCATATGCCATATATACATTTAAATGTTCAACAGAGTAGCAAAAAAGAATGCATTTATTGTGTATCTGCTGTCTTCCCTGTTCTTTGTAAAGGTGTAAAAAATAAAAGAACTTCTTTTTTCCTTCATTACACATAGACCTGCACTTTGTTAAAAGAAGTTTAGCTTCTGAAAAGCACTTGCCAATTCAAGACTACAGAAAAAAAAATCCTATTATCTAGAAGGTCACATGTCTCCTTTTAGGCTGTGGTTTTGAGAAGTGCAGTTCACTGCTTCAAAGGACATCAGTTCGCTCTGCACCATGTGTTGGTTTCTCACTCCTGAATATTATACTCATTTACCACTCCCACAAGACAGAAATTGCTCACAGTTTTGCAGAGACATTTAAGTTACGCAAAATAGAGGTATTCGTAGGACTTAGAAAGTACAAAGTGTATCTAAGAAGGGCAGAAGTAATGGAATGTCTAAATTAAATGTAAGGTGCTGTTGAACAGCTAAAGATTTCTCTGTAAGCATGTTAAAGCTGTTACAGTACATTAAAACAGGAATAAACAGTATAAGCCTGAATACCTCTGCAGTACCTGGGGAAAAAAATTGGTATGATGTAATGATCATCCCCTAATTTCATCACAGGATTTATAAATCGCCAATTTATACCCGGATGCTGCTGAGGAAATGACTGTCAGTGGATCATAAGTCTCTTCACAGTTTCCATCTGCTGGACAAAGTGTGATACTGCACGATAGTGAATTGGCCTTGATGTGGTTTCCTTACGCACTGTAGTTCCAGAGCATTGCGTGTCCCAAAGTGGTTTCTAGGACAGGGTCCCTGACTAAATGACAAATAACTTCATGTCATTATTATTTCTTTCAGTGGAAGACCATGAGCTCAATGAGAGAAAGTGCAGAAATGATTTTGATCAGTAGTTTCACTCTTCCCACCTGACTCTCACCTCACCCACAGAATGAATTATGTCTGCCAGTAAAACTCCACATATGGGAATTTATCTGTGTGAGGTAAATGTAGGTAAATATAGAGGGTTTGTGGGAATTTTTGACAAACTTTAGGAACCTCCACTGACAGCTAAATCTGTTTCTTCTGAGTGTATCGGGGGAGTTTTGGTGAACACACACAAAATAGGTTCTGACTATAAGAGTGCATGGGGCTGTGAGTGCACATGTGAATGTGGATGTATTTCGCCCACATGTCAGTGCAGGGACTTGGTCACGCTTTGCTGCCTTCAGACCAGAACAGGGTGTTAGCTTCATCCAGCTGCCAGCACGCTATCTGTCCTCTCCATCAGTGCTAGTTCCCTTTTCTCTCTTTGGGTTTGAAGAGAAGTGACACTTGCGAGGCAAACTGTCATCACAGCTTCATGTCCATATGCCAGATTAAAAAGCCCTGTCATCCATTTCAAAAGTGCGACGGGCTTGCTTCTGTTTTTCCAAGTATGAGAGGTTGATTTCAGAGTATTTTGTATTCTAAGTAGTTTGTTGAGTAAGATTGTATGTTTGCAGAACTTTAAAGGTTATTAATTGAAGTCAGGGTAGTTTGTGGTAATTACACACAGAGGATATTTCCTGAAACATCACTTCTGAACATAAATGAACCATGTAGGGAAACAGGAATGATACTCTAGAAAGCCATGCTTCTGCCCAAACCGGCCTGCCAGACAGAGTTTACTCAGCCAGTCGAGACAGGAGTCATAAAGCAACAGTGACGTAAGTTCAGTCAAAATGAGAGGCTTTTGGTGACATCTGCTGACTGAATTATAGGATCAATCTGACAGCCAAACATCAAAATGAAATCCATGCTGATTTGTTTTTATGGGAACAACAACAACACTGTACACCGACGCTGAGAGTAACCAAAGAATCAACTTAAAGCCCCGCTTCATTCAAAAATGAGTTTTCCTTCTTGTCCCTACAGTGTGCTGTTTGAATGCTGTCTGTGCGTTTGACACTAGAATCATCTGCTGAAAGTGGAAAGTTTCTCTGTGCATAGATTCATATATATTTTAGAATGTTTAATTAGCTATAAGGAGTGGATGCTTTTTTAAGGATTTAAATGTATAAATTATAATTTTCTTTTCTTTTTGTTTGCAGAAAAAACACATCAGACACATGTTATAGTTCCAAGCAGATTATTTCCGTATGTGTCTTTTTTTTTTTCTGTCTGAGTTTGAGACTTGAGTACAGGTCAGCTGGACAAACTGGAATTTGAATTTCATATCTATCTGTAGCATCTATTTGTTTTGGCAGCAACTAAAGAGTTCTGTCTACAAATGGAGAAAGAATAAAACACAATTGTACATAATTGCTTGAAGATCAGTTTACACCCAAAATGGAACAAATCCGAAAGAATTAAAAGGCAGAAATATACACAAAGGTGTATCATTCATACTGTGGATGTTTTCCATTTCAGGTCAGGACATTGGATGGTGAAATAGCTTGTAATTGTTGCCGCGTTATTCAATATAAATCCTGTAGATGGCGCTGTTGAAACACAATTGATAGAGAAACAGTGCAGCCAGCGGTTTTGACTGATTAATCCACATGTTAAGATCATCTAATTTATAAAAGTGCTCCACAGATGAACGGCCTTCAGTTACAATGCCCTCACATTGGTAAGTCATTAAAAATGCACGTTACAGTCAGCAGACACGCGGTGAAAGAGGCTCGTGTTAAAAATAACAATAACTTACTACCTTTGCTGTGACTTACTCAAACCCCGAGGACCATGTCTGCGCATGCGCACTGCATCGGTTCTAAGCTACGGAGGACACCGCGGAAAAAACGTAGCAGCAGCAGCAGCACCACAAACCCCACGCCGAGATTTCGTCTCCCCGATGCGCTAAAACTGCGCGACGAAAGCGGCCGACGACTATGCCCGGTGCTGCGTTAAAGTGCGGGACGACCACTTGACAGGCCTGGGCGAGGTCTGAGCGGTTGCCGGGAGGGGAAATACATTTCTTCATATGGGAGAAGCATGCGGGAAATGGTCGGAGGTTGCTGCGTGTGTTCAGACGAGCGAGGCTGGGCTGAGAATCCGCTGGTTTACTGTGATGGACACGGCTGCAGCGTCGCCGTCCACCAAGGTAACATTAGCCGCTGTTAGCGTGAGATTACCGGGGCAGCTGTGGCGGCTGAGCCCGGCGGCTGGAGGCAGCCAGAGGTGCTGGTGGGTCGCTAGATTTCTAGGCAGGTCTGCCGCTGCCTACGTGCGTGTTTGTGTGTTGATGTGTGTGGGAGGGGTAGGTGTGCTGTTTGTTGTTTCCTCTCTGCACACATGATTAAACACACAGGGCCAAGCAGAGTCTTGATGGCACTTCAGGTCTGCGTGTGTGTGTGTGTGTGTGTGTGTGTGTGTGTGTGTGTGTGTGTTTGTGTGTGTTTGTGTGTGTTTGTATGTGTGTGTGGGGCTGTCTGGCCCGGTTGGATTCACGACATACTGCAAGAGGCGTGTTTTTGCGACAAAACTGCCCCGGCGAGGCCCGCCGGTTTTGGACACTGTGTTACCTTGTGTCCACTTGCTTTGTTGCTTTAATGAGACTAACAAGGGCAGCAGATAACTTGCAGATGTATATTTCTGAGCAGAAATCCCCCCCCCCCCCCCCCCTGACTGTTGGACCAACTCTGGGAGGCTGGTGCAGGTTTATGCCTGGCTGACTTCACTCTGCCTTCAGCTGCTGGTTCATTTTTAAAAGTAGAGATGATTTTGCCTCTTAAAGTCAGCTCAAAAGTGCCGTAAAATGTCAGAAAGATTAGTTTTAAGTTGAGTTTAGAGCTGTCTTCATAAGGTCAATTTGAAGTTGCAAGTGGATTACAAATGTCTTGTTTGAAGGATTATAACAGCACTTAACATTACTGACAACACAATATAAAAATGCATTATTATGAAAAATGTAATGGAGACAAAGTAAAAGAAATTCTGCAGAAAGACGCATAGTCTTGTATGTGTTGGAAAATGTGTTTTTCAAAAATAGTATCATAAACCTGTTCTTGTGTGTGTGTGTGTGTGTGTGTGTGTGTGTGTGTGTCCCAGCATGCTATGGCATTGTCCAGGTGCCCACCGGTCCATGGTTCTGTCGGAAGTGTGAGTCACAGGAGAGAGCGGCGCGCGTGGTGAGTATGCCAACTCACGACATCCAGCTATTCCTGCTTCAGCCGTCACAATCTGTGCCAAACTCAGAACAAGCTCTGCTCTCCCTCTCTCTCCCCCCCCGTCCCGCCCCAGAGGTGTGAGCTGTGTCCACACAAAGATGGTGCCCTCAAGAGGACGGACAGCGGAGGTAAATCTCATCCTCTGTCCATCTCACTCCCCTCTGCTGTGTAACGCAGCAAATGTGGGAATCAGCAGGGCAGCCTCCCTCCCCGCCTGAGATAGAATAGAAGCTGCAGTTTCCACTTCATTCACAAGGATCCTTATAATGCCATTGATCCACTGCCAATCTCTCCGTCAGGCTGGGCCCACGTTGTGTGTGCGCTCTACATCCCTGAGGTGCAGTTTGCCAACGTCCTCACCATGGAGCCCATCATCCTGCAGTACGTCCCGCATGAGAGATACATCAAGGTACTGACACACACACTGTTGACTGGATAAAACGTGTTGTGAACACATTTTCCTCCTGGTGCGGCAGAAGCATGCAGGAATTATATCTTTTATTAGAGATGATTTGGCAACCGAGGTTTTTTTTTTTTTTCAGCCAGTACAATAACTGATAATTACCTGCTTCTGATGGCTGATACCAATAAGATAATCATTAATTTCACATTTTTGTATTTTGGTGTCCACACAGAGAGCGTTTCTGCTGCAGTGCCGGTGATACATACAGTAAAATCCTTGTTAACAAATAGATAGATTCTGTCCACAGAAATATATAATATTATATAATATAAATTATATTTTTGTACATGTCTGTGACACATTCTACAGATACACACATTGAAAGGTATTAAAGGTGTATAATATGTTGCTGGTAAAATGAACCAGACTTTTAATTTTTGTTTTCAATTTAGTTTAGTCTTAGTTTAGATTTTTTTTGTTTAAGTGTTTAGTTTTTTTAATCATAATATGGGTGGTATTGGTCAGAATAGATATTAACAATATAAACACATTGACTCTCAGT